CAGTGCTTTATCCCCACTCTGTTTTAGGGTTTCTCTGCTCAGAGTTTCCAATATACTCCCCTCTCCCCAACTCTGACGCTGGGAAGCAAGGAAGTCGGGAAGGAGGGCGAGAAGCGGGCCCTTGGATTTTTGGCTAGCCGTGGATCCCAGCAGGGCAAGCAGGCGAAGGGGAACCTAGAGTACTCTATGGATTAGGCATCTGGCCATTCCTGATGGGGACTAGACATTTAAAATGGGGCTTTCCCATTCATTAGACTCTTTAACCCTGCCCCCTTGCTCAAACATATCCTGAGACCCTCCACACAGTTGGGACCCATCCCGGTTCCCCTTCCCCCTAATTATTCCCCTGGGCCTGGCCAGGAGCCGGAAGCAGGAAGATTGAGCTGCCAAGGTCCTTCTCCCTGCTGACTCTCCCAGATCTGCCCATGTGTTGAAGATCCTCAAGACCCCAAGTCCCAGAGACCCTTACGCACAGAGGGAGGGCCAGGCCCAGGCTGGAGACCCCCTTCCCCGGAGGAGCCCAGAGGAGAAAATCTTGAGATTGCCTTTAACTTCTTCCTGCCCCTCCCATTCAAAAAGGACTGAAACTCCTGGGGAAGGCTTGGAAGGTGGCTGAGGGACTCCTTCAAGTCTCTGGTTCAAACAGTGAATCCCATCACTGTGAACCCTCAGGGGGCACTTAAAACTCAGACATCCCCAGCAAGCCACACATTATAGGAAAAAATAAAATGAAATTAGAATGGTAATTGCAAGGAGGGGTGCAGAAAAAGTAGGCCGAGTGGAAGGGGAACAGTCGGTTCTATCTGAAAGATGGGTCACAGGCACAGACTCCCCCCTCCTCCCCTCCCACCTTCAAATCCCCCAAATGTTTATTCTGGGCCCCTGCCCATCCAGATAAATCAAGCTAACAGATTAGGAAGTTCATAAAATTGTATTCTTAGGTAATGACATCCAGAGAGGTAATAAATATTCCCTCTGCTCTGGTGGCCCCGCTCTGGTGGGGAATCCTCCTTCTCTTTTTCCCAGCCTAGGAGAGGACCCTTGGAAGGATAGTCTTTAAAAGAGAATGAGCCCCCCAAAGGCGAAGAAGTGACAGGTAGAAGCTGTGGGGAACCCCAAAACGTGGCTCCTCCAGAATTGGGCAAGAGAGAGAGAGAGAGAGAGTGGACTTGTCGCAGCGCTTGTTCCCCTCGGTTGGTCACAGCGCCCTGCAGATCCCAATATCTCTGAGCCAGGTCCCATCACTCTGAGAAACACAGACAAACTACGCCTAGCAGAGGGCACCCTGGCCCCAAGCTCCTGAGAACCCCTTAAGAGTTTTACCTGCCCCGTGTATCACACTGACTGCTCACACCACCCAACACTGGGCAGAGGACCCTGGATTCCTTTCTGTGAAATCCTCTCTCAGAGGAGGCTTGCTGAGCAAACTTTGCAGGAACTTCATCCAAACAACAGAGGGGAGGCTCTCAGAGGAACCCAGTTCCCTAGTAGGCTTCCCCCAGCCTCACTTTGTAGGCCCCCTCTCTCCTTCCTGGAGCCAAGATTCTCCACCATCCAAGTCCACCAACTTCATTGACCCCCAAGTCCCCAGCAGAGCCCCATTGTTCAAGACTGGATTTCCCTCCAGAGTCCCAGAGTTAAGATAAAAACAGCAATAGTTTAAACTCCTGAGCCTCCTCCCCCCGCCCCCAGAGCAGATCCAGTCTAACTACTTACATGCCAAGGGGTTTTTGATCTGCTGGGATCTCCCCATGCTTGGCGAGAAGGACTTTGGAATATTGGTCTCCGATTCATCCTGTCTTCTTTTTATTGAGCCATTGGCGAGGGTGAGATACAAAGCGCTAGCAGGCATTCATTGCGCCTTGCCTCTCCCATTACTTTGGGCAAGAAACCCCCAGCTCTACAAAAGCAGTGGCATCCTTATGTGAGACCAGGGGCTGAGCAAGGGCTGGCTTCAGAGGGCTGGGGGTGGGGGTGGGGGAGAGGTCAGAGGCGCTGCTGAATATAAAGGCAATGGGAGAGAAAATGCTGTGTCCTCCCCGTGAACCTGGTTCCGCATCCTCCCCCTACCCCAGCCTTTCCCCACTGCTCAACCCAACTTCAATAAAAACCCCAGTCCTCCACTTCCCAGTGAGGTTTAGCAGCATCAGGGGGAGCACTGATACTGAGACTGGAGCTCAGTGCAGGCTACCCCCCAACATCCACCTCTCCCCAGCCTATTCTAAGTGGTCAGGTCTAAGGCAAACGGGTGCTTTGGACAAAAAGGAGAGATGGGAACCTCCTGGAGGCATAGCCAGAAGCCAAGTTCTTCAAAACTTAAATGCAAAGGGTTTTTGTTTAGTTTTGTCAAAACTTACAGATTTCTGGTGTTGCCCCTTTGTAGATCAAGAATAGGCAACAGACATTGACTCTGTGTGTGTGTGTGTGTGTTTGCATGCGCACACTTTTGAAACAGAATCCCATAAAGAAGGAAAAATAAAATAAAGGTCCCACTACTTTTATGCTGTTTTTTCTTCTCTAAAGAGTGTCCTGTCAGCAAGTTCAGGCAGAAACTGAAGAAATAAAATGTGGTGCTTTCCCCTCTTGGCGCAGGGACAGGGACCAGATAAACTCCCCCAGTTCCAAGGAACAAACTTAGGCAAGGGCTACAAATCCTAATTTCCTTTTAAAATTTTTCTCCTTTCCACCTCAGCTTCCTTATAGACTTGAAAAGATGCCCCATCAGGCCTTCCCTCCCTCCCTTCCTTTCCCCAAGGGCAGCTACATACCCCTTGTCTGCCCTAAAGTCAACTCTCCCAAGATGATTGGGGTGCTGGTCCCCGGTTTTTTGGCCCCTGACTTGCTTGATTACACAAAATAACTCTAGATAATGGGTGGCCCTGCTTCCTCACATTGTAGGCAGCATGTTTTGCTGTCTCCAGGGCACCACTGAGGGCAGAGAAAGTAAACCTAGAAAACCCAGCAAATTCGCCCAACTCACTCTTTCTCTATCCGCCAGCAAGTGGTCCCAAGGAGAAGCAGATCCAAAGTACACCAAACAGATTTTCACAAGTCGGTCACCCTGTTGCCTTTGTGTCAAGATTTTGGGGATCAAAAATAGGAATTTTCCTGACTTCCCAACACATCTCAGTCCTCCTCACCCTCTTCTGCTTCTGATATTCCTCGGTCCTGAAATCGGATAAGATGCCTGAAAGGAAGAGGTTCCAGGACCATCGATGATGACTCCTATTCTTTTTCCTCACAAATGAGCAAAACTTTGAGTAGGCCCCGCTTAGGGTCTAGTCTTTGAGACTATAATTATTTAGGAGTCTTTGGCTTGGATTAATTATTTAAGTCATCCAGGATCATTTTTTGTTTCTTTTCTTTTCCCCACTCTTTCGTTTTAACCCCGAGGAAACAGTATTTTTGGTAGGCACCTGGTCCTCTTTAGGTTTTCCCTAAACCCAGAAATTGTTTCCAGGGAGGTCAAGGGACCAGAGAATAGTCCCAGCCTCTCCCCAAGTCTTTTCTGGACACCTAACAGGTCCACAATGAAAGTGAGGGGGAAATTAAAGTGTTACATTATCTCCCAGCACCAGGCTTTGAGGCCTACCCGTGCAAGGGGGCCTGGAAGGCCCCTGGCCTCCACTTCACCCTTCTCTCCAAGTCTAAACAAACAGAAAAGCCATCTGACAGGTCACTTTGCTGCCTAGGAATCACCAGCTCAAACCCCTTTTCTTCTTTTAAGGAGAACTTGCATGTTGATAGGGCATCTCCCTTCATCCCTCACCCACCCAAGCTCTAACACATTAAAATGTCTTCTCCCTCCCACTCCTGAAACTTGCCTTCTTAGGGGAGAAAAGGGAAATAGACCAGAGGAAGGGGTTATACAGAATATGCAACACCATTCCCACCCAGCTCCACTGTCAGTAAGTATCCCTGGGAGTCTCTGCAGACTCAGCAGGAAGGGGACAGGAGAAATCAGCCCTCACCTGCCATGTCCCCTCAACTGAGGGTCCCCTGCCCCACCCCCACCCCTTGCTGGTTCTTCTAAAGACTTTGGAGAACTGGAGTTGAGAGTTAAGCTTTGTGTTTGCTTAGAGTCAACCTAGGTAACTATAGAGAAGGTAGGATGTTCCCAGGCCAGAAGGAGGAGGGGGATAAAAAGAAACCATCAGACATTGACGTAAAACTAATTCACATCCACTGGTTTATTATTGATCACGGGGCATTTCACATCGACACTAACATTCTTTATTGCAAGTTTTACAATAATCAAGTAAATTCAGTCCAGAAACACAATAACCACGATGGGGGGAGGGGGGCACTCTACCTATAGACTGTCTCTCTGAACTGAAAGTTCATTTTTATTTTCTTTTGGCTCTTCAAACTAAACAGCTCTGAGAGGCTCTCCAGATGCATTTAGCTTTGTCTGTTGTCTTCCTCTCTCTTCCCACCCCCCCCACAGATACAAAAGAACTTCATAGCTTTGTTCTCCTTAAAACGACTTCCCCCCACTAACCTCCTCTGGTGCATTTTCAATGCAAAAGGCCTAAGGAAGGAGGGGGGGAAGGAAGAGGAGAAGGAGGAGAATTGGCTTAAAAAGCTCTCTCTTTCCTTTTTTCTTTTCCTCATTTCCCCTGAAATTCACCCAAACCAGACCGTCGCACCTAGCATTATATAATTTTCGCAGCTTTTTTCCTCAAAAAATAAATACCCCCCCCAAAAAAAAACCTTAAAAGAAAGAAAGAAAAAAACAAAACCCAAAACAACCAGCAGGTACCATGCTAAGACCACATCACATGCTTTAAAGGGCCCTTAACAGTGGAAGGGAGAGACGGGCAGGGGCTTGTTTATCTGTTTTTGTCTGTTTGGAATTGACAAGGGACAAGGTGGGAGGAAGAGAGAAAAGAACCAAAATATATATTTATATATATATTAAATTCTATAAATAAGAGTCAATTTGTGTGTGAGGGGAGGGTCGGGGGGCACGGGGTGGGGGCGGGGGTGTGAGTTATGTTTTATAACCTGGTGATATCCTCTGCCCGTGGCTGCTCCGGCGGCGTGGCGCTCTGGGAGTGGTCTTCGGAAGTGCCCGGGGTGGCTGCTGAGAGGGTGCTGGGTGCAGCGCCGGCCGGGGGCGCTGACCTGACTTTGGTGTTTGGGAGTCGGTGGTCTTTCTTCCATTTCATGCGACGGTTTTGGAACCAGATTTTGATCTGCCTCTCAGAGAGGCACAGCGAGTGGGCGATCTCGATCCTTCTCCTCCGGGTCAGGTAGCGGTTGTAATGAAACTCTTTCTCTAATTCCAGGACTTGCTGCCGGGTGTAGGCTGTCCTCGAGCGCTTGGGTTCCCCTCCGTTATAATTGGGGTTCACTGGGAAGGAGGGGGAGGGGGGGGAAAGCAAATCGTGGGGTTCAGAGGCAGCAGGCTCCCCGCACCCCCACCCTCACCCCATCCTCAGCCCTGTGGAGCAGGAGGAGGGGGTGGTGGAAATAAAGTCATCAAGCTAAATGGGTTATAAAGAAGTTGAAGGAAGCTGGAGACTTTGTAGTGTAATAAGAGGGGAATCCTCATTGTAACGACACTGAATTATTTATGCGCCCTTAGAAAGCGAGCATAGTTTTCACACATACATAACAGATCGTAGCACATGGCTCGGACTGCCCAGAGTAGCTAAGCCATAAAATTTATGGGGGATGTAATTACCCATTCTCGCTCGTAAATCCAGTTCAATTGTGCTAACCCAGAGTCGCTCCTGGAGAGAGAGGGGGAAGGAGAGAAAGGAGGACGGGGGCCGGAGGGGCCCGGGAGGGTGGGGAGCGCTGGGGGACAGGGGAGGGAGGGGGAGAGCAAAAAGCAAAGTTGCCTACCCGTGCTAACGTGGATTTTTTTCATCCATGGGTAGACTATGGGTTGCTTGCTGGCGGCGCTGGAGGGATGGTCGGGGGCTGGCTGGCTGCAGGCTGGCGGGGCTGGGGACGGGGAGGCGGAGGCGCCTGAGAGAGGCGCCGGTTCGCAGAGCGGCTGCGATTTCTCGGGGTGGTGGTGGCCCGCCTGGGCCGGCCCGTGGCCTCGCGAATTGCCCGGCCCCTGGAGGCTGGTGCAGCTATACTGGCGCTCAGGGTAGCTAGGGCGCGGAGGCGGTGGTGGGTACAGCTCCTGGTGGTGATGCTGGAATCCCGATTCCCTGGTCCGGCCGTAATATTCCGGACTGTGTTCAGGGATGTAGCTATTTTGCGAATATTCTTCGCATGGAGGAAATTTCGGATCGATGTAGTTAGAGTCCATCAAATACGAGCTCATGATCATTAATTTCTGGAGTGGAAAATAATTTTTCTCGCTTTGTCGTTTTTCTGCTCCATAAAGCCCTCCTACTAGCTAGCGACCCTGTAAAGTTACTTTCACCATGTGACTCCGCCGGCCAATCACACGGAGCAACCCAGTCCCCGGATAAGGAACCGAATCGCTTTATTCAAAATGTATCCAATTTTTTTTTTGTGGTGGTGGTGGTGATGATGCTGATATTGGTGGGGATGATGTGGGGATAGCTGGCGGGGATTGGGGTGGCCCCAGTGCACACGCCGCCAGACTGACAACCCTCCCCTGCAGAACGGGGTGGGGAGCCCCCAGCTCCCTTCCAAAGCCTAGGCTTGGGGAAGGGGATCTGTCGGGAAGCTGTGATTCGGCCCCAGTCCAGGGTCTCCTTGCAGGCCTCCGGTGAGCCCCGGTGGGCCTTGGCTTCTGAGCGCTTCCAGGGGTCTCCATTCGTGGCGATCGTGTCTCAGTCTGTGGAGGTCACCGGACAGCGCCCCTCTTTCGCAGGAAGAGGAAGTTGTAAAAGGACTGGAGTGGAGGTTGGATGGGGAGGGGTCCAGGCTGAGCCAAGAGGCTAGAGAGCCTGGGGTGACAACCCCCCCCCACCCCAGCCAAGGATACCAGAGTTCAGTCCCCATCCCTATACACACTCACCCAACCCTCTGGCCTTGGGGCCTGGCGAGGCAGGGTCCCAGGTGGGCGGACAGGTAGAGGCAGCTGGATGCAAATGATGCTGACGTCATGCCTGGATGTGTGGGGGTTGAGCCCCCGGCTGAAGAAAGACAGGAAGTGGTTGGAAAAGGCAGCTCCGGTAGCCTAGCTTTGCCCTGGTGGCCTCAGGCCCTCCCGGACCCAGCGGAGGGCAGAGGATCACACGTGCTACTTGCCTCAGGGTGAATTCTGCGATCCTACCCGGTCTACAGCCTCTGCCAAGTACCCAAGGCTGCCTCAAAGAGAGCTCCCTGCCAGGCATCGATGCCTCCCCTCCCCGACCCCCGGTGCCCAGCCAGGGCCTGAGAGCTCTTCTTTCTCCAGCCACACAGAGTGCAGGCCTGCCAGGAGAGAGGCCTGAGCGAGCAGAGGCTGCTTCCGGCCAGGGAGTGTAGCCATGTAACACGTGTGTTTACATGTAAACACGCATCCCCAAGGGCCAACTTCAGGCTGCCTTCCAAAAGCTGAGGGGTAAACTCACTAAGCTGGGGAGCAGCGCAGGCCTCTGCGAGCTCTTTCATCCCCCCCCACCCCTGCTGTCACACATCTACAGGATGTGATTTGGGGAGGGGGTGGCAGGGCGATAGAGCACGATGGGGGGCATAAGAAGAGCTGCTCCCCCGAACACTCTCTCTCTGGCCAGGGGTGGTCACATCATGCCACCATTTCCAATTAACTGATCTTCTATTACTCAGAGGTAGAGGTTGGGGGAGGGGGGAGGGGGCTCGGAGGGGAGAGCCCTGGGAGGGAGGGAGTCCCCTTGTTGTACTTGATAACAATTATAGTTTAAAATCATAGCTTGCCGGGGCTCGGCTATATTTTACTTGATAACAATAAAAGTGACACATAAAGTTAACTGTTTATGTTTTATTTATTAGACTAAATCTGCCAGCGGTGGTAGGAGCGCTTGCCTCGTCGCTCCGGCTTTTATAGGGCTGTAAAACGTCATAAATCAGTCTCGCGGAATCGCCCGCGCTCTTTGTGTCGGCTGCGGCGCAGGACTGGCGGCCGCTGGCTGCCTGCGCCCTCCTTTCCACGAAAAGTCGTAATGTGATTTTTTTCCCCCCTCTGATTTTATTATTATGATCGCCGCCGTGATTAGTCAATCCACCTTTAATTCGCCGCCCTACGCTGCCTCCTCCCAGCCCAGCCTGGTTGACACTTGAATAAGTACCTTTTAAAACGGCATAACAACTATTTGAGGGTTTAATTAGAACATCTGCAATTAAGGGAATGAGGAGGGGAAAGGGAAAGAAAGGGAAAGAGGGAAAAAAGCCCTAGAGAAAAGGAGAGGCTGAAGGCGGGTGCCTCCCAGCCCTTCCCTCACCAACTTGGGTTGTGGGAAAGGGTCCCCTCTTTCAAATTAGGGGCTCACCCTGAGGATTGGCTGGGAGGGCAGCGGGGCCACGGGCGATGCCGAAGGAGACCGAGCCTTGGCTCGGGTCCCCGGCCTCTGGCCTTGTTCCTAAGCTTCCGACCCCACTCACCTCTGGCACCACGAAGGGCGCCTGACTGGGGAAGAGCCTGCGCTTGGGGGTGGGGAGTCCCTGGATACCCTCTTCTACGGAGGACAGCGCCCCGCCCCTACTGCCACCGCTGGGTAAGGGAACTGTAATACCCCGGAGACATCTTTTAGGGGAGAATCCTAGTTTTCCCAAATTGGTTGGAACCCTTGCCCACTCCTGTCGGGCCCTCTTGCCACCAGACGGGCTGGGGCTGGGGTTTGGATGGAAGAGGAAATTGAGACTGTGAGTGAGGGGGGGAGAGGGGGAGGAGGCGAAGCAGGGGTGCTGCTTGGTAGGAAGTGGTTTGGAGTTGTGTGAGGGTGGTTTTATTTGTTTGTTTGTTTGCTGGCTATTTCTTGGCAAATGTTTGTGGGGGGCGTTGGTGATAACTTCTTGGGAGAGGGCAAAGGACAACTGATGTTGGATTCTGGATGGGACTACAAGAAGAGACTCTAAACCGCAGCTCCGTGGGGCGGGCTGGAGCTCCAGGAGAGCTCAGGTAAGGTAGGGGGAAGGTTAATGAGTGGGGCAAAACTTCCCACCCCACCCCCAATCTCCTTTCTGGGCCTGCACCTGGATGTTAGCTGTCCCACCCCTTCCCAGCCTGGAATGTTCTCCTGCCCACCTGGATAGGTGAACTTTCGGCCTGGCTTCTCTCCTCCTGGCCTTCACTCCCTGCTTCTGCCAGATCTACCCGGCCTCTACCCTCTTGTCTTCTATCTGCTCACCCTTTGGGGCTTGCTAGGGAGCCTGTCCCAGAGCATAGCCCATTGCACACCTTTTCCCACCAGGTTTCTGATCACCTGCAGGTGGGTTGAAGGTGATGGCGTAGAAAGCCTACTCCTTACCAGCATGTGTGGGCAGACACAGAGGGACACTGCAATTGAATGTCAAGTCGGTCTTTGGTACCTATGGTTAACATCAAAATACATATATATGCGTTCATATGATTTATGTTTATTAATATGGTAAATGCATCTTCCTGCAGCCATAAATACGTGGCGTTCTCATTCCAGGTTTGCACAGCTAACTCAACATGCACATTCAGAAAGGGAGAGCTTAGAGATTACCCCAAATGTGCCCACACTCACCTTCACCATCTACAGAGAACTCTTTTGGTGATCCTAGATAGCCTAATATCAAGGAATGATTCACATGGGTAAATAGCAAAAAATACCCCACCACCCATGTACATAAAATATTTTCACCTGCCTATTATCACAAGGATGGAAATAAAATCTTTTTCCAGGGCTCTTGCACTTAGCACTGGCTTAATTGGGATGGGGTTACTAAAGCACCCCTGGCCTGAGATGAATCCTCAAATGTGGGGCTGTCCTCTTTTGTGCTTCCCGCTCTTGCCTCCCTTTTGCCAGCCCAAGGATCCACACCACCTCTGCTGTCTCCCACCCTGCTCTGCCTCAATTTTATTTTTATTTTTTCTGACCCCCATTTTTGCCAGCACCCAAACATTCTACACACACACATACTCTCTCTCTCCAAACACACACTCACACTCTCCTCTGAATCTCAATCTGGTTTCTCTTTCGGAAACACGTTTCAGTACAAAGCTCTTTCCTTCTGACACTGCTGAAGAAAAATATGTGTCCATTGTGTGCAAGGCCTTATTGTGCCCAGATTACCATACTGACCGTTGGATAACCCATATTCCTCCCCTCCCCAGGAACAAGCTGCCGGCTGAGCCCTAAGCAGCTCTAAGGATAGATTCTGGGCTGTGTTAAAACCTCACCTCCCAGGCTCCCTGAATTTTCTGGGGAAGAAAAAGAAACGAGAGAACCAATTTAGGATTTGGAGGGCAAAGGGAAATGGCAGTCATTTTTTCTCCAGCTCCGAAATGAAATGCAGGATTTCCCTTGTTTATGTTTGGGAGGGAATTGTTTTGTTTGTTTTTAGAAATTAAAAAAATGCAACATTTCCCCCCCTCTTCCTCAAATAAATCCACATTCAGATGGTATGTGACCAAGCAATTAATTTCATTTTGATTTTTTTTCTCCCAGCAACCTAAAAATCACAACTAAAGCAAGACTCATGACCCATTTTTCCCCTTTTGTGCATGTATGAGTGTGTGTGTGTGTGTGTGTATACATATGTGTGTATGTGTCTGTTTTTGTCCCTTTCCAATGTCAGCAGCAGGGCTAATGTATGCAAAAGAATATGCAAATGCTTAATTGATTTTTTTCTTAAATCTCTTGTCAATAAAAGTAATGAATTGGTCTAAAATGATTTTAATAACCCGGACGTGTCACCAGAAAATACTCAACCTTTTTTTTTCTCCTGGAATTGCTTATAGTCTCAAAAAAAGCAATCATGGAATGTTAATTTGCCCCCCTTTAAAATATTAAAGATGAATTTCTCTTGTTTGTTCATAGACCACAGGCAAGGTCCTCTCATGGATTTCCCCCGCTTTGCCTTGCCTTCCCTGGAATTCAATTTTTCTCAAATCTCGTTTAAAGTGGCTTTTTAAAAAGTGGCCGCATTTTAATATTGGTTAGACAGAGTGACCTGCATTTCACCTCGGGTGTTTGACTTGTTCCAATAGGTCACTGCCATGGGGTTATTGATGGGGAAACTCCATTGAAATTTGTCTCTTCGCAAATGGCCTTTAGATCTTCCAGCGAGTTCAATAACTAGTTATAATGTGGAAGGGGAAAAATGAAGGCCCTGGGCTAACGAATTTGATGTTTCATTTTTATGCTGGAGAAATTGTTAGTTAGAGGTTGGGTTGCCCACCCCCTTCCTTGCTCATCCCTGCCTCACTGACACCCCCCCACCCTTATCCAAAACTGCTGAATTTCATCCCCTTTAAAACTTGACTGGGCTATCTCTTCTGCCTGCCCTTTGATGCAAGCCTTAATTCTGATTACTAGAAATATTGCTGTTGGATTATTGCCTTGTGGGTGCAGGAGCCCTCCCCTTCCCAGGCTTGAACCTCAACTTTCCTCTTAGAGAGCAAGGGACTTTTTCATCTAAAGGGACCTAAAGGGTTTTGAAAGATCTTGAAACTAAGCTGACCTTAGGGCAGTTGATGGAGCCTCCCTATGCTGGCACTCCCGGGTTCCTCGGAGATGTGATTCTAGGAAGCTGGGAACCCCTCCTGGGGTTTGATGAGGGCATCTCCGAAGTGCCCTAAGCCCTTCCCAGCCTCTCCATTGCCAGAGACCCCTGTAGGACTAGACACCCTTCACCCCCTACTCCCATCTGGACCCCCAAGTCCTAGGAGAGAAAAGGCTGAGGATAACAAGGGAAGCCCACAGAGCAGGCTAGGGAGTCCTGGTCCCGCCAGGAACAGAGAGTGACCACTGGTGGAACCCTGCTCCTTCCTCAGAAGGGATCCCCTGGAAAACTGACTGTGCATTTGGGCAAATTGGATGGAGCAGAGCCCAGGAAAATGATGGGGTGATGGCTACTGGGGAAAGTTCTCCTTTTTCTGGAGTTCTTAAGAAGTGGGAAGTGGAGAGGTCAGGGAGGTCTTTAATTTATTCTCCCCAACAACCACAGTGAGCAAGGTCTGTACAGAGAACCTCTTGGTCCCTCTCTG